ACCACCCCCCCCCCCCCCCCCCCAAAAGGGAGACTGGCAGCGGGCATTGAGTCATTGTGTGGCTTTTTAGGTGCTGATGTGAGAGCAGAGGAGATGCTAAAGGGGAGTAAACCCCCCTGTGACTCCTGGCACTGCCTTAGGGGGTATTTTAAGGTCAGAAGGTCAGTGTTTGTTTGCAACCCCCTGTGTATAAAGGTCTAATAAATAACCTATGGAGATCAAGTCCATCTCCATCACTGACTTGTTCTGTGACCTTGGGTGAATCGCTTTGTCTCTCTCCTGGCGGTAAGAGGGTGACCAGATCTCTTCCCCGAGATGGGTTGCAGGTATCAGTTAATAAATAACATGTGCTTTGAAGATGAAAAATACCTTGGAGATGCCAAAAGCTCTTGACAAGCATCTGCGTTCCCTTTGCAGGAAGGCAGCAGAAAGCAAAGCGCCTGAATACTTTGTCACAGACAAAATCTGCTGTGTGCACAGCTCGGAGAGGCAGGGCTTTCCGTGGCCGTGGAATTTGTGGGCATTTACACTTCTTGCTTGTTTAAGAGAGGGCTGTCACAGGACGGCCGTGCCCGGGGCTTTGCGAGCCGGAGCAGTGCAGCAGAGAGCGGCACCCGCGTCCCTCCCTCCATCCTTTGCCCCAAGTCTCCCGTCCCTCGAGGCACAGGGATGAGCTGCATCCACGTCCCAGCAAGCGCGAAGCCGCGTTTCGTATGGCTTTCCAACTTCACCCCAGGTGATGGATGAGGTGTGGGTGCTCAGGGAGGCTTGGCCCAGCTGTGAAACGATCAGGAGTTTCACTGCTGTGGATTCACTGTTGTCTAGTACAGGGTTGGATTCATACACAACTCCAGGCTATTCATGAAGTATCTCTTAGTTGCCAGTTTGCATGGAGATGGTAGATAGTATCTTTGAAACCCCATAACTGGTTAGTTTTCATCAGGGACCTCAGAGATACGAAGCAAATTTATTTTGTACAGTATAACCACAAAGCCTTAATTTTCTTGGGAAGCCTCCTTTGACCCACTTTTGCCAATCAAAAAGATGTGTTTTTGCCCGAGCAGCTTTCTTTGTGGATTGCCCTGCCTGTGCCAGCTCCCTGCCAGCTCCCTGCCAGCCCTAACGGTGCCTTTTCTCTCCAAGGGAAGAAGCGATGCTGTCCACCTACTTTGAAACCATCAATGACTTACTCTCCTCCTTCGGGCCGGTCCGAGACTGCTCCCGCAACAACGGTGGCTGTACCCGCAACTTCAAGTGCGTTTCGGATCGCCAGGTGGACTCGACGGGCTGCGTGGTAGGTACCGTGGCTGCTGGCCCCGGGGACTGGCATCGGTTTTGGGGTCACACTGGAGGGGGACATTGCCTTTGCACCCTCTCCGGGGATGTGGCCAAGGGGACGTGTGCGCTGGTGGTGGCCTCCCCCCACCCCTGGGGCCTTCACGGCAAATCACACGTGCCTTTAGGACCTCAGGGAAGGAGGCAGAGTGCTCAGATGAGCCAAAAAAACCCCAAACATTTGAGGCTGATGGTCATTTTCCTGCGTGTCAAGAAAGCACAGGCTGAAAGCAGTCTCGCTTTTTCTCCTGTCTTGTGCTTCCCAGCATGGGAGAAAGATGAAGCATCTCCCCATCCTCTCCCCCTCTGGGCCCCTCTGACACCCTCAGAGTTTTGATTTGTTTCTGGACGTGCTCACGTCTTGCCAGACAATCCACTGAGTCCCACTGAGTCCCAGGTTTTGCAATACCCCCTCCAGAAGACCTTTTAGACGCTAGACCGTTAGTTTTGGGCAGAGGCTCCGAATCATCCCCAGCTATCGATGCACAGAGGGGTTTCGCAGTTCTCCCAGGGGGGAGCAGCAGAGCTCAGCACCTCTCCCTTGATGGCAAAGTCACCGCTTCCCTGCATGCGGAGCTTGAGCGAGTTCAGGACGACATGGAGAGGTGCCGGGGCAGAGCCTTCGGAAACTAGGGGAAACCTGGAGCATCCCTTCTCGTCTGTCTGTCGTAGGAGCCCCTGCCTGCGGGTGGTGACCCCCGAGGGAGTCCAGAGCTCGTCACCTGCTCCGCCTGCCCGGCAAACACACGCCTGCGGCTCCGAAGCCCCCCGAAACCCCTCTGCCCCTTCCCCTGCCTCTCGCCACAGGCAGAGCCCCGTTGCCCCATCCCTCCCATCTCGGCAGAGGCGGGAGTTAAGTGTCTCTTTATTTATTGAAGATGTTTATACACAGCAGCTGGGAAAGGTCAGGCTGGAGCTGTGCTGTCCCGGGGGTGGCGTTTTCATTATCCCCTTCTCCAGTTGCTTGTTAAGGCCATTTAGTATGACAGCCTGATGTGTCACCAGCAGCGCCCGGCACTGTCTCCCCTTGCCGCTTGGCTCCCTTTCCTCCTTTCTTTTCCCATTGTCATTTTCTTTTGTTCCCTTTTCCAAGGAACGGCTGCCTTTCCAGTCTTTTAGGGTTTTTTTCCCTGGGTTTTTTGGGTGGTGTTTTGCTCTGAACACCAACGTGCCTCCCAGACACTGTCAGAAGCCATCGGGGCTCTGATCGTCCTGTGCTGCTGGGAAGAGATGCCTCTTTTTAAAAGTCAGGATATCTTAAGATAGAAACTGTCAATAAATTACAGGCCTAGCGCTCGCCACGCCGGCATGTGGAGAGGCAGAAATTGAAAACTGTGTCACTCGGGGAAAATACCTCCCCCCGCAGCTTCTGAAATGCCTAACTGAGGCTTTACGTAAAGAGAACACAGCGTGTGCAGCGTGCAGGGCAGGGAGAAAGGAGAAGCAGCAGGAGCCCTTCTGCAGTACATCCCCTCCTCGAGAGCTGTGGGCGAGAGGTGACACACGGGGACCGACAGACCCCCTGTGCATCACGCCGGGCTACCGGGGCTGTGCATCCCATGGGGGCCGGAGACGGCCGCAGAGCTGCCCGTCTCTCCTCCCTCTGCTCTTTGTCCCTTTTTCTCCCTACCGCAGCAGCGTGAGGCTGCCCTGCCCCTCTCCGCAGCCCCTCGTCGGGGGGTGAAGCCCCCCCAGCTGCAGCCTGAGGACAGCAGAGCTGAGCTCCCCAGGGGGACACTGGAGGTGGCTGCTGCATCCCCGCTCCGGTCCACATCTCTCCCTGCTTCCCATGGGACTGACAGCAGGGGCACAGTGCTCCACGTGAGCCAGCATCCCAGGCTGCATCCCTGCCAGCGGGGTGAGGGAGGGGGTTCTGCCCCTCTGCTGCGCTCTGGGGAGACCCCCCTGCAGTGCTGCCTCCAGCTCGAGGGGTCCCAACAGCAGAAGGAGACGGAGCTGTTGGAGCGGGGCCAGAGGAGGCCCCGGAGATGCTGGGAGGGCTGGAGCCCCTCTGCTGGGAGGACAGGCTGGGAGAGTTGGGGGGGTTCAGCCTGGAGAAGAGAAGGCCAAAAAGGGGAGACCTCAGAGCCCCTTCTAGTGCCTAAAGGGGCTCCAAAAGAGCTGGGGAGGGACTCCTGATCAGGGAGGGGAGCCGTGGGATGAGGGGAAACAGTTTTAAACTGAAAGAAGGAAGATTCAGATTAGATATTAGGAAGAAATTCTCTCCGGTGCGAGTGGTGAGCCCCTGGGGCAGGTTGCCCCGAGAAGCTGTGGCTGCCCCATCCCTGGAGGTGTTCAAGGCCAGGTTGGACGGGGCTTGGAGCAACCTGGGCTGGTGGGAGGTGGCCCTGCCCAGGGCAGGGGGTGGGACTGTATGGTGTTTAAGGTCCCTTCCAACTCTAACCATTCTATGATTTCTCCTGGCTCTCCCAATCCCATGCAACGTTTTACCCTCATCACCTGCTTGTAGGTCCCCAGCAATGGCAGGGGCGCAAGCAGAGGTCTGGAGGACGCTGTCCCATGTTTCTGACTGGTCCATGATGGTCGTCTGGGGAAAATCCCCAGGTCGTGCCCATGGCATCATGGTCACAGGTGATGGGAGCTGGGGTTGGGAGCTCACCACAGCCCCGGCATGCGACCTGGCAGCACCTTCTGCACTGGTCCCTGTGCTGGGCAATACCTCCCCTCCTCATCCCACCCCTGCGCCCCACACCTACTGGGAGTGAGCTGTGGGCTTCCAGCACGAGCAGGGATGGGGTCATTTGCTGCAAATGTGCAGGGATGTCAGTTAGTTTTAAAGCCAAACTGCCATGAACTCAATTTGCCAATTCGGTAAGTGCTATGGGCAATATTGGGATGTAATTTAATTAAGCTATCCCCTTTTTATAGAGTTCAGGGAGCATTTGCGTACTAATTTTAGCACTAGGTTTGCTTCAGCTTTACTCTGGACACTGTTTCTCAAATCATGACATGTTGTTAATCTTTACCAGTCAACAGTTTATTAATTTGCCAAGGACCACAGAAGTATATAATCAGTGGTTCATCAATCAAGGCTAAATCCAACAAATGTTCCAGGCAGGTACTGAGCATAAAATATACATGCAGCCTTGTAAGCAATTAATACACAGCAGAGCCGGAGCCCAGCAGCTCAACCGGGGAACAGCACAAATCTCAAAGATTTCTTATTCCTTTTATATATAATCATCATCTGTTACCAGTTCCTTCATGCCCTTAATACGGCTTCCAGTAATTCTGCGAGGGCTGGGGATGCATTTATCTTCGGGGGTTTTAGCGGTGTGGGCTCTGCCATTACCTAATTGTTTGGCCTTAAAAGGACTTGGTTAAAATGTCGAGGGCGGTTTGTTTGCAGCTCGTGGTGTTCTCTGAGGACAGTCTCCTTGGGCTTAAAAAGAACAAACGAGGGCATCCCTTTGCTTCGTTAAAATCCTGCGTGGGAGGTGTCACCTGGAAGACCCCAAAGGCTCCGCAGTGGGGTCCCCACCTGGAGGGGTGACAGCTCCCCGGTTTCCATCCCACACTTCCCACGGGGCCCCTTTTTCCCCCCTCGTCTCATGGCTTTTCTGCTATTTTTACCTCTACCCAGTAGATGGCATTAGTGCATAAAGGTTTTCTGCAGTTCTTTTCTTATCGGAGGCTTTTTTGTTTGGGTAATTTTAAGAAGTATGAGCTGTAACCTTGCTAAGACCTTGGCATTGCTAACTGGAGCCTCCCCTTTGAGCCCTGCCTCGCAACGTAACAAGACAACCCCCAGGCTCTAGAAAACCTGTCCCCGTGCTGCTTTTCCTTGTTGCACCCCAGAATTGCTGCCGGGTCTGCGGAAGCCACAGGTGTTTCCCCAAGAAAACAAAATCCCAACGAGCTTCTCTAAATCTGGTGGCTCTTCTCTGCTCGTTGAGTGTAGTGTATGTTTCGTACCATCTTGTAGGGATCACAGCAACTCAGGAGAAACTGTGCTGGAGGATTAAGTCAGATTCAGGACAGGATTATGCATCGCTGATCCCTTCTACCGGCACGGTGGTACCTGCTCAGCCCCGAGGGAAGATGCTGAAGAAGGGCAAGTGGTTGACCCTCATGTGTTGGTGATTTATAATTTGAGATTCAAACCTGTGAATTGGCCCTGAGGGACTGAAGGAAACACCTGTAATGTGGTTTAAATTTAGGTTTCCCCACCTGTCTCTTAGCTTGGGTTTTCTCACTGATGCCAGTCCTCTTGTCCACCCTGAGGAGAAGGGGGGAGGGGAGTCACTTGTATCTGCTGCCCCATGGCTGTGCCTGTTTGCGAGCCCCGGCAAGGTAGGACTGCAGCCCTGGAGGAATAAGAAAGGTGAGGTTTTTTTACCCCAGGGAAAGTGAGCTTTGGTCTCAGTGCGTGAGGAGGTGGATGGTGCCTCTCCGGTGTGTGCTGGGTATCCTCGGCATCGCTGCAGGAGGAGGCAGCAGCAGGCCCAGGCGTGCAGTGAAGGTGCGTGTCTGAGCCCCATGGTGTCTCTCAGGATGGGGTCTCATCACCATGAGGACCTCCTGGAGAAGCAGGAGGGCACAGGCTGCCCAGCTGGTGGTGGGGAAGGTAGCTCAGGGTTCTGAGCTAAGGTGACAGCCGAATGAGGCCCTGCTACATGAGCAGCATCACCGCAGCGGCACAGGTAGTGTGATCTGATGGTTGTGCAACATCTTTGATGCCTGCAGGTGGTGGTGAGTTAGTCTTTTAAGTCAGAAAAGAGTGACTTGTGCCACGCAGGTCAAAGATGTCACAGGTGGCTATGGAAGGGCTCCAGGATCCGTCCCATCTTGGGAAAGGTGTTGGCAAGAGGCAGGAGAGCCCACCCAGCCCAGGCGGCGGGCGCTGTTCTGCACAGACCCGAAATCCTGCTGACGGTCACCATCTCCCCGCTCGCAGGCTGGCGTTCTGCTAGCACAGATTTATTTCTAATTTGAGTG